CCACCAAACCACTCCTAGCCTTTTTTTTTCCTGAGACAGAGTCTCCCTAAGATCTTTGGCTGCCCTCAGACTTGCAATCTCCCTGCCTCAGTCTCCCAAGTCACTGTGATTACAGGCAGGCCAGCAAAGTATCATCACTTTGTTTCTCACCTTTGAATGTTTACCTGGAAGCAGAATTCCACGTTGACAGCTACATTTTTAAATTACTCCTTTGGTCTTGAGGCATCTGTCATGCTGCTGATCCTTTCTTTTAAGCCTTCCCCTTTCATTTCTGGTTGTTTTTAACTTCTCTGTTTGGTGTTCTGTGTTTCAGTACAGTGCCTCTAACAGTAGAACTGTTCTTCTTTATCCTCAACTGAGTTACTTCAGTTAGATGATTCATATCTGACCTAATTCTAGAAGATTCTCAGACTTTATATTTTGCGCCTTGTCTGTCACCTATTCTATTTTAATCTGCAGGAGCTTTTTAGACAAATGTTGGACCCTCTCTTCCTCCCCTCCTAAATCTTCTCTCCCAGGAAGCCCTCCCTCCAACAATACAGTCAACTACTTTGGTTCTGCAGGGCTCTGGAGCTCTCACCAGCCTAGATCAACCTTATCTTAAGTTTTCAGCCTGTGGTCCTTTAGCAAGCTGGCAATAAAATTTCAGACTACACACATGCATGATTGGCAGGAATTTTTTATGCCCTTCTAGGTTATACCCTCTTCATCCAGCAGACTTAGCTCCAACAATCCTGCACTTCCCAGGGTCTGAGACCACATCTCCTAGCCTTCCCTAGAATCAAAGACCTAAGTGCTCCTGCCCCTTTGTCCATTATCCTGGGAGCTGTGTTGGTATCAACTATTACCTCTCTGACTTTCCTTTCTTGTACCTAGATATGATCTTTCCTTCCTCCTTCCCCTCTTCTCCACTTCTTTCCTTTCTTTGTTCCATTTTCTCCAAGTTCAGTTATGTACGAAAAAATATATTTTCTACATTGGCCAAGGAGGATGTAATGCACACTTTAGTCCCAGCTACTCGGGAGGTTGGGGCAGAAGGACCACTTGAGCCCAGGAGTTCAGGCCAGCTTGGACAAGATAATGAGATCTTGTCTCAAAAACAAAAAAGTCTGGTATAGTGATGCATGTAATCATGCCTGTAATCTCAGCAGCTCAGGAGGCTGAGGTAGGAGGATCATGGGTTCAAAGCCAGCCTCAGCAACAGTGAGGCACTAAGCAACTCAGTGAGACCGTGTCTCTAAATAAAATAGAAAACAGGGCTGGGGATATGGCTCAGTGGTTGGGTGCCCCTGATTTCAATCCCCAGTACCAAATAAATAAATAAACAAATAAACAACAAAAAGGACAGAGGCTGTAATAGAAATGCCCTGGGTTTAATCACCCAGTACAAAAAACAAAACCCCCCAAAACAAAACTATTTGGGTCAACTTTTCTTTGTCAGAAATGTCAGCTTAGTGCAGGGTGTGGTGGCACACACCTGTCATCCCACCAATTTGGGAGGCTGAAACAGGAGGATCTCAAGTTTAAGGCCAGCCTTAGCAACTTAGTGAGGCCCAAAGCAATTTAGTGAGACAGTGTCTCAAAATAAAAAATAAAAAGTGCCGGGGGAGTGTGACTCAGTGGTTAAGCACCCCTGGGTTCAATTCAGGTTACCATATTGCCAGAAGTCTACTATTATTCCTTATTTAAAACAAAAACAAAAACAAACCTCATTTTTAGAACAGTTTTAATATCAAAGAAGAAATGAGCAAAATGTATAGAAATTTCCCATGTATCCCCAGCCCTCCCATATACACAGCTTCCCACACCATCAACGTCCACCACCAGAGTGGTACATTTGTTACAGCCAATGAACCTCACTGACACATCACTTTTACTCAAAGTCCATCATTTACATCAGGGTACACTTTTAGTGTTGGGCATTCTCTGGGTTTTAACAAATTCATGATGTGTCTATTACTACAGTGTCACAGTGAATAGTTTGACTGTGCTAAGTAAACCCTCTGTGCTCTACCTATTCATTCCCTGCCTCCCCACCTCTGGTCCTTTTATTGCCTCCACTAAAACTTCTGCCTTTTCCAGAATGCCGTATGTTGGAATCACACACTATATAGCCTTTTCAGATTGACTTCACTGAGCAATAAGCATTTAAGTTCTTCCATGTCTTTTTATGACTTCATGCCTTTTTTAGTACTGAATAATATTTTACCAATTGGATACCTGAGTTTGTTTATGCATTTAACAATTAAGAATATTTTCTTTTCTTCTTTTTTGCAATACAAGGAATTGAACCCAAAGCCTCACACATGTTAGGCAAGTGCTCTACCTCTGAGCTATATCCCCAGCCTTTTTCATTTTTTGACAGGTTCTCATAAAGTTGCCCAAGCTGACCTTGAACTTGTGATCCTCCTGCCTCAGCCTCCAAAGTAGCTGGGATTACAGGTGTGTGCCACCACACTCTGCTACTGAGTATATTTTGTTGCTTCCAAGTTTTAAAATTATGAATAAAATTGTTATAGACACCTGTGTGCAAATTTTTGTATGGATGTTAAGTTTTCACTTTCTTTGGGTAAATGCCAAGGTGTGTGACTGGTGGATTGTATGGTAAGATTATGTTAAATTAGGCTTTTTAATTTTTTTGTTTGGGGGGAGCTAGGGATTGAACCCAGTGCCTCCCCAATGCTAAGCCTGTGCTTTACCATTAAGCTATATTTCCAGTCCCTCATTATGATGTTCTTAAGAGTTTTTTGTATATTTTGGAACTTTTTACCAGATATGAATTTTGCAAGTATTTTCTCCAAGTCTATGGCTTGTCTTCTCATTCTCTTGATTTTCCTCATTTTTTGGAAAAGTTACTAAGAAACTCAGATGAAGCTAGGAATAACACCAGAAGGAGAAAATGGGATCTTCTTCAATAATCCCAAATCTTTGAGACTTTAATTTTAAGTCCTAAACTTCAAGATTTTCAATATAAAGAGCTAGACATTTCTAAAATTCTTTCCTTTTCCACATCAATCAATGAAATGCTGCCCACGTGAAAAGGGCCCTGTTGCACACTATGTAGAATGAGCCCAGGAAGCACCACATCATGAAGAGTGGAGTTTCCAAATAGAAAACTGCAGTGCTCTAAAAGGAGCCTCAATGAAAGGAGCAGCCATGGCACTTTGGGAAGGTGTTTTAGGAATGAGAGGCACACAGCAAAGTGTACGTAAAGAAGGGCAAGCGTTTAATAACAAAAGGGAGGCCACCCTGAAGCGCACTCTCCAGGTCTAAGGAGATCTGAAAACAAGACGAACACAAACACAACAAAATATGGGTAAGAGGTGTAAGGTTTTGGTTTTGGTTTTGGTTTTCTTTCCATTGCTGGGAATGGAACCCCAGAGTCTGTCAGGAAAGTGCTCTACCACTGAGCTACACCCGCTACCTGACACACACAAAATATAAATGCTACATTTGTCCCAGAAGTGAGACAGCTCCAATAAATCTTCTAATAACTCTACTCAGCTCAGGGTGCAATCATCTGGCTACTGACACTGCACCTTGCATGTACAGTAATAAATGAATAATTCTAAGTGTTACAGCTGTCTGCAGAAAAAGAACTGTATCCATATAATAAATAAATGATACTACTTCAAACATGACTGCCCATTTATACAAATTTACTTTTATTTCCCACCCAGGATCCAATCACTTGGCATTAAAACTGAAAAACAACACAAGAACACCAGAAATAAAAAGTGAAGAAATTTCTATATTATATTCAAGCATTTATCTCTTCTGATTATCTAAGAGAAAAAGAGCACTAGGAAATCCAACTTTAAAAGGGAAATTCAAAATGCTTCTAAAGACTATCAGAAGCTGATCTCTCCAGCCAGAGACCAGTGGTTCCATCTGTGGCTTTTAGATTCCCAGCCTTAGCCTCACCCTCTGTAGCCAACTCCAAATAAATCTCTATCAACACACATCCCTTCCCAACCTCTGTGGGCACTGCGACAAATTAAAAGCTCTCTTGGCTTCTTCTTTTAAGGAATTTAAGCTGAAGTTCCTCTTCCCATGCACTGTTGTATAAAATAGGCATTTGTGCTCTGTTCTCTCCCTTCTATCACACCAACACACACACACACACACACACACACAAATAAATAAATAAATAAATATTAATTTGAAAAGGTTAAATAAAACTGGCTTTTAAAACCCAGCAAAGCAAGGTATGATAAAAATAAGTCTGAAGAGATCCAAAGATTTTAAAATGGGGAGGGGAGAAATGGAGGAAGACACAGAAAACAAGAGCCATTGCTTCCCTAAAACACTGAAACTCACAGGCATAGTGATAACTTCCTAAACTGTAATGTGTGGACTTTGGTAGAAGCGTCCTGTTTCCCAAAGCTGACTTCTGGAAATCTTAACCGGAATTCCGAAAAATCCCCAGCTAAGTGAGCCATAGCTGGAAGAGGTTCTTGTGCAAGAGAAATGAGCGCTCCATTTACAAACAGACGCTCGGAAAGGAAGGCCATGCACCGGGAGAAAGGCCAATGAAAAACTCACACCCCATCCTGAACTTTCCTAGCTGCTGAATTCTTTCCATGTGTTCTGATTGTTACTTAAAAAACTGAAACTTACTGAAGATCAGTCACAAAGAGCAAAGATAGGGGTGTGTGTGTGTGTTTGAGGGGAGCAAGAAAGCAACATGGTATGCTGTAAAGCAACTGAAAGGCATAGAAAAAAACTAAGCTGAGGGATAGCTGCAAGTCACCTTAAATCCGATTCCAGTGACAGGTATCATAAACTCAATCCCCAGGGGAGATGAACACACAGGGCCTGATTATGCCACAGGGGTGGGTCACTTGCTTTCACACCTGTGGGCAACAATAATCTCTCTTTGAAAAACTCTGCTTCATACCCTTTTACTTAATCTTTCTCAGTTGCTCCCAAAAAGTAACTCCCTACTTAAGAAATCTGCAATGACTTCATTCATTTTCTCACCTCTGGTGCCAGAAATGGGAGCCACTTTGTAACCACAGCTTCCAGGTACAAATGCTGCTTCTGCATATTTCTACAGCTATGTTGGCTTGGGAGACTCTTTATTATGGGAGCACTGGGGATTAAACCTGGGACCACACACATGCTAAGCACATACTCTACCACTGAGTTACACTGAGCTACACACCTAGCCCTATTTATTTTGAGACAGTGTCTCCTTAAATTGCTTAGGGCCTCCAACTTATGATCCTCTTGCCTCAGCCTCCCAAGTTGCTGGCATTACAGGTATGTGCCACTGTGCTTGACTCCTTGGGAGGCTGTTAATGGCTCCCCTACATCTACTGACTCTGCCTGCCTCTGCACAGTACTTCCATCATTTGCTCTACAAAGACAGGAAGGCAATTTCCACCTGGTACTTGGAAACTTGCTTCTTGATATCAGGATAAAAGAAAAAAGGAAAACCTATTCTACAAGATTGGAGAAAGAGAAAACACCAACACAAAAATTCCACTTCTGTCTCTGCTCATTCTGCGAGAGTCATGACTGAGCTGTGAAGTCTTATTTCTCCTATCAGCCTATGCCCAGGCTGTGGTCACAGGAAAAACAGGTTCTCACACAGCTGGATGGCCGGTTCATGGTGCAGAATCTGTCCTGAGAGGAAAGCCAGCTTGTGGGCATACTTGCAAGGAGCTGGAACTCTAATGGTACCAGGCCAATTCCAGTACATGTGGCACAGTTTGAAAGTCAACCTGGAGGCCAAAAAGAAAATGTGATCTTTATCACTCTCTGCTTCCAATTCAGGGTGTGATCACACGCTCACGGGGATATGACACACAGTGCCCTCGCCAGCAAACTGGGGAACCCAGGAATACACAAAGCAGCATTTGGGATCATTATTCTTCCATTTAATTGTTTCTACTTCGATCATTTGTAAATCAGAGGATGGGTGAATCCCCTCATTTTCTTATTTTTATACTAAAACAAGAAAAACAACATGAAGAAAATGCCTTTCTTTGCCTACAAGAAAAGTCTGCAGTAGGATAAGGACCTCAGCGGCATGTTGAGGTGATATGAACTCAAGGACACTGGGTCTCACATCTGGTGGTGTCATAACCATGTGCAGCATTTCTTAAAACACAAATGCCGGCCAGGCACGGTGATGTACACCTACAGTCTCAGCTACTTGGAAAGCTGAGGCAGAAAGATTACTTGTGTCCAGGAGGTCAAGACCACCCTAAGCCAAACAGCAAGACATTGTCTCTTGAATAAATAAGAGTTCTTTAGAACGTTTGGGGCACTAGCTGACATCAGTTTTATTTATGTATTTATTTATTTTAAGATCTTCAAGTAATTTTGTAAAATCGGGATTACCAGTTACTTCTCAAAAGAATACCACTGTGGTCAAATTCAAGGGGTAGGTATACCTGGGGGCAGGCAGTGACCCCACCTAGCTAGCTGGTCAGAAGTTAGGGTGAGAAAGGAGTAAGTTATCACCTCTGCATATGATCAGGGCTCAGGTTCGCAGTGTTGAGAACACAGACATAATGCGTAGGAATGCCACAGCCCTGTCGTACATGGTGGGCGAGGAGGTAGAAATCCACCCTAGGAAGGAAAAAGCACCATTGAAGGACATGGTCAGATTTGGCTGCAGGAGCTGGAGAGGATCTTGGAAATCACTCTAGCTCCTCCATGTAGGCTTAGAAAGGAAAATGACAGGATCCAGGACACACAAGAATCAGATTAGTATTAGAATTTAGGTCTCCTGACTCATTGGGCTACTGCAGTGGTGGGAGACGCTCCCTTACTTGTGCGTGGAAGGGTTAGCCTTCTGGGTCTTAGGACAAGACTACATAGGCAGAATTCTGTATTTAACAGAATATTTAACTGTATTTAAAAGCTTTGTTGGTTTTCAATGTTTTTAAAACTTTTCTTCTTTTTATTTCTTTTTTCCTCCTGACACTGGAAATTGAACCCGGGGCATTCTACCACCGGGCTTCATCCCCAGACCTTTTTATTTTTTATTTTGAGACAAGGACTCACTAGTTGCTGAAATTACAGGCCTGTGCCACCATGTCTAGCTTAAAGCTTTATTTTTTTCAACAGTAGAATCTAGTTGAACATGGTGATGCACATGTGTAATCACAGCAACTCAGGAGGCTGAGGCAGGAATATGCAAGTTCAAGGCCAGCCTCAGCAATTTAGTGAGCAACTTTAGTGAGATCCTGTCTCAAAAAATAAGTAGAGCTGGTGATGCAGCTCAGTGGTAAAGCGCCTCGGTTCAATCCTCAGCACCAAAATAAAAAAAAAATTTTTTAAAAAGGAAAAAAGAAAGAAAGAAAGAAAAAGAGAACCTGTGGATTCCATTCCAATCTCTCTGGCATCCTCCACATCCCAATACCCAGGAAACAGGTAACTTCTCCAACCTATTCTTCCTCCAATACTGTCTTTTTTTTGCTCACTTACCACTCACAGCTTGTTATTGTATGATCTACCACAGTTCCAGGGGAGGGTGTCACAAAGTGCTCAGTAGCAGCCAGGTACAGATTGGTACTGATTTTCTTCTGAACTACAAACACCACCATCTTGGGCTGGTAATTCTCAAAAGCCTCAAAACACTTCTGCAGCTGAGGAATCTCATAGTTGGCAACCGTCTTCAGCTGGCCATCAGACACTCCATCACGGTACACCACAATCTTCTCTGGTAGACAGTGGTTCACCTGAAATGACACCCAAATGAGGTAACTCGTGGGGCCCTCGGGCAAAGGACCACAGTGAGAGAGACTTATTCAAATCCCAACCTGGAGACCTGGCAGTGGATCCCTTTGGCAGCTGACTCCAAAGTTACCATGTCTGACAGGCATGTAAAAAAGCTTCTAATCATTTCTAGACTTTCTCAGAGTAGTAAAACAGACCTGGAACAGCATGGGTATTATAAAATATGAAAGCCAAATAGGCAAGTTATGAGTCACATGTACACAGCTTATCTTCAAACAGACGGAACAAAGTTAAAGGGAACAGTAGGAAAATTATGGGCCGAATCAGTCTTCCTTCTACTTGGATTTATCACTAATAACTGTGTAGGCAAAGAACATGGTGAAGTGCTAGAAAAGTTCTAACAAAGGAACACACAAGCCACAGATCCACCATCCTCAGATTCCAACATACTGGCACCATCCAAAGTTGTGGAGAAATGAAAGGTTCTTTAACTAAATATTATCCTACAATCTGGCATAATGTGAAATGTTTTTATTATAACTAAATAAATTATCTGCTGTCTTGAATAAGTTTGAAGAATAATTGCTTTCCCATTTGGGGAACATAATCATGTTCTAGTTGTGTTCAATTTCAATAGTTCAGGGGTTGTGGCTCAGCGGTAGAGCGCTCACCTAGAATGTGCAAGGCCCTGGGTTCGATCCTCAGCACCACATAAAAAAATAAAATAAAATAAAGGTATTGTGTCCAACTACAACTAAAAAATAAATATTAAAAAAAAAGCTTAGTTCAATTTTAAGAAGTCCCCTTAAGAGTGCTTTGGTTTAATTCAGGTTTTTATGTTTTGTCGCTGTTGTTTGGTACTGAGGAATGAACACAGGGATGCTTTACCACAGAACTACAGCTCTTATCCTTTAGTTTTTGAGACAGGTTCTTACCAAGTTGCTGAGGCTAGCCTTAAACTTGGGATTCTCCTGCCTCAATCTCCCAAGTAGCTGGGATTACAGGGGTATGCTAACCACACCTGGCCTTGGTTTAATTCAGTTTTGATTCTGGTTGAGTGAGTTCATACTAATTTTTTTGTTGTTGTTCACAATTCCCTTCAAAAAACTAAATTATGAATTAAGTTTAAATATTAATTACATATGCATGCACTATTATTTATAGGTTATCCTACGTGAAAATTTTATTTCAAAGAACCTTTCCTAAAAATAATCACCTATAATCTTTTTTTAAGCTCAGAGGTTGAAATATTTTATAAATGTCCCTTTTTCTGAGAAACCTCAAGTACTCCAAAATTTACAAACATGTAATCCATCTTCACAGTCACTGGAATTACTGCCTCAGTTTGTGGTACTTATTTCTTCTTTTGGTAACAGAACTTCAGTTCCCGCCTGACCTCAGCACTGCCAAAATTGGGGGCCAGACAATTTTTCATTGTGGGGGCCGAGCTGTGCTCTGAAGCATCAGGGTTCAGCAGCATGCTGGGTCTCTGCCCACTGGATGCCAACAGCATTCTCTCCTAGTTATGACCAAAAGTGTCTCTAGGCTGCCCACTGGGAGGACAAAACCATCCCCAGTTGACAGCCACCACATTAACCACAGGACATGCAGATGGCTCAAGCCACACCAACAGAAATTCCTCCCTTGTGCTCAGTCTTGAGCAGATTGAAGAGAATGAAGATAACCTGGAGTTTGTTCCCTCAGGGGCACCGTCTCGTCAGGCCCCTGCTTCTGAAGCCCAGCTCCAGTCCATTTTCCAATCTGGGGCGCAACCATCTCAATCTCACCAACTCCCCTGATAAGCTGTATTAAGAGGTGACTCAGGAACTTATTTGGAAGAAACTTCATTTTACAGATAAGCAAACAGGACACTGGATTTGGGGTCAGGAGATCCGAGACTGAGTTTGATTTTACTGCCCCTTGGCTATGCCCTGAGGACTCAATCTCCTCAGTTGAAATATGGAGAAAACAATCATTTTACCTTCTCATCAGGATTAGGAGGAATAAATTAAAATTATACACATATTTATAATATATTACTCTACATAAATATACATTTAAAATATATAAACACATGAATACTTGTGTATCTCCATCTTTTGTGTGTGTGTGCACGCGCACTGTACTGGGGACTGACCTGGTGGGGAACTCTACCATTGAGCTACATCCCCAGTGATTTTAATTTTTTATTTTAAGACAGAGTCTTTAAAAAAGGGCTGGAATGTTTCTCAGTGGTTGAATGCCCCTGGAGTTTCAAAAAAAAAAAAAAAAAGACAGGATCTTGCTAAGTTGCTGAGGGTGTAAGTCACCCATGCTGGCCTCAACCTTACAATCTTTCTGCCTAAGCCTCCCAAGTTGCTGGGATTACAAATGTGCACCACCACATTCAGTTGTTTTTTATTTTTCAAGACAGGGTCTCACTAAGTTGCCAAGGCTGGCCTCAACTTTCCATCCTCCTGCTTGTCTCCTGAATAGCAGGGATTATAGGGCATGTACTACCATGCCTGGCTAGTTTATTGATAATTTTAAATAACTTCTAATATGGTAACTATTTCCAGATATATTCCCATGTGAACGAAAACTTTTTGAGGCCCACAGTAATACTTAAGAATGTAAAGACTAAAAATTTTGAGAACTGCTAGACTTAGAGATACAAATTTAAATCTGATACTAAATGTCACATCTGGCTTAAGACTGCCTGGAAGGCTTCAAGTGGTAGACCAAGAACTGAAAAACCCTCAATTCAGGACAGTTGGAAAAGCTGGACAAAATGTAACCACCTCGAGAGGAAGCCTTCAAAGCCACCAGCAGCAGAGGCTTCCTTCAAAGCCACCAGCAGCAGAGGAGGGATGACAGGGGCCCAGCCAGCACTGGAAGCTGTTTCCCTGTTTACGGGTTCCACCAGGACAACAATAAGGCTGCATGGTTGAGGAGTGCTTTTTATTCTGAACAGCATTATTGAAATGTAATTTTTATTTTTATTTTGGTACTGGGGATTGAACTCAGGGGCACTCAACCACTGAGCCATATTCCCAGCCCTATTTTGTATTTTATTTAGAGACAGGGTCTGAGTTGCTTAGTATCTCACTTTTGCTGAGGCTGGCTTTGAACTTGTGATCCTCCTGTCTCAGCCTCCCTAGCTGCTGGGATTATAGGTGTGCACCACCACACCTAGCTCTTGAAATATAATTTGATATATCATAAAACCCACCCCATTAAAGTATAAGAAGATTTATGTTTTCAGAATTTTGAAACCATCACCACTAATTTTATTTATTTGGTACTGGAAATTGAAACCACAGGTGCTTTACCAGTGAGCTACATCCCCAGGGATGACAGTGAGACAGGGTCTCACTAAGTTGTGTAGGGCTTTACTAGGTTGCTGCAACTGGTCTTCAACTCATGATCCTCCTGCCTCAGCCTCCCAAGTCACTGGGATTACAGGTGTGCACCACCACACTTGGCCCATTACCACTAATTTTAGAATTTATCTATCACCCCAAAAGGAAATCCATAACACTTGCAGTCACTTCCCAAACATGCTCCCCACAATTCCTGGAACCCAGTAATTAACTTTTTTTTTTTTTGGTATCAATGTTTGAACCCAGCGGCACTTAACCACTGAGCCATGTCCCCAGCCCTTTTTTTATAGTTTATTTAGACACAGGGTCTTGCTGAGTTTTTCAGGGCCTAAGTTTCTGAGGCTGGATTTGAACTCATGATCCTCCTGCCTCAGCCTCCAGAGCCACTGGGATTACAGGCGTGTGCCCAAGTGACTGGCTTCACTAATGAACTTTGTATGGATTGACCTGTACCGAACAAATAAAATCATAAAATATGTGGTCTTTGGTGTCTAAATAATTTCACTCAGCTTAATGCTTTTATCGTTCTTTCATACTACAGCTTGTTCCAGTCCTTCATTCCTTTGTATTGAAGAATAATATTCTATTGCAATAAAAAGTAGACACACATCCCGTTTGTCATTGATTCACGGACGTTTATTTGGATTGTTTCTATCTTTGACTACTATGAACAATGCTGCTATGAACATTTGTTCTACTGTTGTTTTTGTTTTTGTTATTTTGAGACAGGGTCTTGCTAAGTTACTGAGGCTGGCCTCAACCTCACAATCCTCTTACCTCAATCTCCCAAGTAGCTGGGGCAATGTGTGCATACCACACCCAGCTTTTGCTGTGAACATCTGCTTACAAGGTTGTGTGTGGACTTGTTTTCCATTCTCTTGGGTATGTTCCTAGAAATGCTAGGTCATATGGTAAATCTGTTTGACTTTCTAAATAACTGCCAAACTGTTTTCCAAAGTAGCTGCATCATCGTATAACCAATGTGATTCTGCAACCTGTACACTTGGAAAAATGAGAAATTATCTCTCATTTGATTCAAATGTATGATATGTCAAGATCATTGTATTGTCATGAGCAACAAATAAAAATAAAAGTAGCTGCATCAGTTTATAGTCTCAATGGCAATATACGAAGGTTCCAGTTTCTCCACATTCTCAATAACACTTTTATTGCCCATCTTTTTTTTAAAAAGTTATTCAGTGCATATGAAGATATCTTTCTGTCTGCAGTCTTTAAAGTAAGAGGCTACTTTTAAAGCAGTTTTTAAATGTATAAAATAAGAACTGAGGTAATAGTACGATTTCCCATGTACCCTCCTTCTACATCCAACTCCATTTTTAAAAAATTTTTATTTAGTTGTAGATGGATATAATACCTTTATTTTATTTTTATGTGGAGCTGAGGATCAGACCCAGTGCTCCCCACATGCGAGGCAAGCTCACTGCCACTGAGCTACAACCCCAGCCTCCTCCAACTCCATTTTCTCTATCATCAATACTGCATTAAAGTGATATGTTTATTACAACTGATGGACAAATATTGATACATTAGTAATGACTCAAGTCTAAAGTTTACATCAAGGTTCTTCTGTGTTGTACTTTCCTATGGGTTTGGAAAATGTATAATGTCATGTATCCACC